CTAACATAATATAGTATGATGATGATAATAATAATAATAATAATAATGATAATAATAATGATAGAATATTACTACAGCTCGGCCATACCTGACCTTGAGTGGCCTCCACTCAGTAAAGTATAATATAGTAAAGTAGCTTGTACAATTAACATTTAAAAAAAAAAAAAAAAAATTTACTTATGCTTAGTACATTAGTGCATAGTAACAAATATTATAATAAGGTGGAACAACAGTTTGTTTAAACAAAAAAAATAAAATAAAATAAAAATAAAAATAAAATAATATATAATAATAAAAATTAAACAAAATAGTAATATTACCAATTAAATAGGAATGGCAATTACTTAGAATACCCTTTAGTACAGTGAAATATACACAAATAAGAAAAGTATCAATTTACTTGTCGAATCCAAGGTTTAATATGTTTACACTCAAATACTGATTCAAAAGGGAGCTGAGTAACTTGAAAACCTGGAATATCCTTTATGACATATCGATCATTAGGCAATACTACCTTTACTTCGTATGGCCCTTTAAACTTGGGTATATGCTTTTTACTCATTCCTGGTGTTGTGTCGACATTTTTAACCATGACATAGTCTCCTGCTTTATATGTTCTAGCTATACACCGCTTAGTATCTACATTTGATTTATTAATTATTTGGGCGTTCCTAATATTTTCTTTAGCATTCTGTCGTATATTTACTAAGTCACGCTTATCCACACAATTTTCTGCATCCAGAACCATTCTTAGGTAATCATTTGTCTCACCATGTTGATTTAACCCAAATAGTAGCATGCTAGGTGTATTTTTAATAGACCGGTTGTATGTATTATTACTAGCAAATTGCACTTTGTTTAAAGATTCATTCCAATTTTTCCCTTCCTCATGCATGATTTTTGAAATCATTGCTTTAATTGTCCTATTATAACGTTCTACCTGCCCATTGGCTTGAGGGGAACCCGCAGCAATAAGTACATGTTGAATATTATGTTCCTTACAAAAGTTTTTAAATATATCAGAAGTAAAACTTGTACCTCTATCTGAAATAATTCTTATTGGTTTACTATAGTACGAGAAGTATTCAAGAAGTTTCGTGCATGTCTCTGTTGTCTTAACAGAGCGAACTGGGTATAGTGTAAGGAATTTACTAAACGCATCAACTACAATAAATATGTGGCGATAATTTCCCACTGTCGGATTTAGGGGACCATAATGGTCTATGTGTATGGTATGAAAGGGAGTATCATTCGTATCTACTAATTTAAGTAACCCTTCTGTTTTCCCAGTTTTTGAAGAAAAAATAATACACTTGAGACAGTTTTCAATATGTTGTTTAATTAACTCAGACATGTTGGGGAACCAATATGTTCTTTTAATATTTTCTGTTGTACGATTAATACCAACATGTCCCATATCATCGTGACAAGATCTGATCACATTACTACACATATCAGCTGGGACATAAAACAAAAGACGCCCATTACTCTTCCTATAAACCAGACCATTTCGAATTCATAGAGCTTGTGCTCTGAAGATTCCAACATTTTAACTAATTTCTTTATTTCTGGGTCACAGCTTTGCTTGATTGAGAGTGCTTGGTTAAAGGTACACCCCTCAATAACTAATATGTGGTTACGGCTTAAAGCATCAACGTGTTGCATTCTCGTACCTGGTCTATGTTCTATCTGATAATCAAAATCCTGCAAGAACAATGCCCATCTGGCAATTCTTGGATTGATATCTTTTTTCGCTAGAGTCATCGTTATGCTATTACAATCTGTTACAATCTTAAACCTAATGCCCTGTAGATAAATTCTAAATCTTTTAATTGAGTTAACTATGGCCAACATCTCTAGCTCAAAGCTATGGTATCGAGATTCTGCATCGGATGTCCGATGACTATAAAAAAAAATAGGGTGAAATTTCCCATCAGATTGTTTCTGTAATAAAATGGATCCAAATCCTTGACTTGATGCATCGCAATGCAATTCAGTTTCAGCACCTGGATTGAATAAACATAATAGTGGATTTTCACAGAGTTTAAGTTTGATTAATTCAAAAGCATTAATTTGATCTATCCCAAAATGAAATTGAATATTATCTTTAAGCAATTGATAAAGAGGTCAAGCTAATATGGCAAAGTTGGGAATAAAGCGCCTGAAATAAGAGGCTAAACCAATAAAACTTTTAAGGGCTTTAGTATTACTTGGAACAGGATAATCCTTAATAACCGAAACATTTTTAGGATTAGGCCGAATACCGGATGCATCAACTTGATATCCTAAGTAAATAATTTCACGCTTAAGAAATTGACATTTATCTAACCTCAATTGCAATTTATGTTTCCTCATCAGGTCAAAAACTCGTGATAAAATATTTAATTGATCCTCAAGAGTCTCTGTAGCAATAATAATGTCATCAAAATACACTAAAACCTTATTTGTTTTAATAAGTTCTCTAAAAATATTATTGACAAATCTTTGGAACTTACTTGGACCATTACAAAGTCCAAATGGCATTTTACAAAATTCATATTGGCCTAATGGAGATATAAAAGATGTGTACTTCCTGGATGATTCGGCCACTTCAATATGGTGAAAACCATCTTTTAAATCAAGACTCGAGAAATATTTTTTCCCTCTCAATAGGTCAAGGTGATCGTCGATTAGTGGAATTGGATACCTATCTCTGCAGCATCTTTTGTTGAGTTCTCTATAATCAACGCACAATCTCAGTTCACCAGACTTCTTCTTTACCAACACTATTGGGCTACTATACTCTGAGTTACTTTCTCTAATTACACCATTTTCAAGTAAGGAATTTATAATTTCTTGTAATTTATTTTTTTCATAATATGACAATCGTCTTGGTTGGAAGCTAAACACATCCTGACTTTTTAGGACTATCTGTAAAGGTTCACTAACTAATGGTTCATTATCTTGCTCGTTAGTATTATCTAAATAAAATTGCCTATATATATTATTCATATTCACTCTAATATGCTCAGGTAGAGTATGGTCCAACCTAAGATCAATACTGTCATTTTTAATATTCAAAATCTCCAAGTTAAGAATTTCATTAAATGATATTATGTCACTACGTTTAATTTCAATTTCAAAACTACCATTATTAACTCCAAAAATGACCCTTGGATGCGACAGAAAATCTCTACCCAGTAAACAATCACATTTAATTGTATCATTAGGCACTACTTTTAATTTAATATTCAGTGGATCGCCAATATTAGGCTGAAAAACATCTACATACATCTGACCTAAAATTATCAATTCTGATCCATTAATACCTACAATACCAGAGTTAGTTGGACTAGTTACAATTTCAGTAAGTTCTGGTAACACTTGTTCTCTAATTAAACTTATAGGACTACCAGTATCAACAACGGCCAAAATATTTGACAACAAACTATTATTAAATTTTACATCTATATTTATAATATAAGCTGGAGTTACCACATCTGACTGCTGCAATACCATGGCTGAGTCGTTAGGAGCTTGCTGATGCTGAATGTTGGCTGGACCCTGATCTGAAGGACACTGGCTAATCTGATGATCTGCAGACCCACACTTGAAACATGAACCCTTTGGTCGTTTTGGCTTAGTACAAGCTGGTGAAATATGCTCGAACGATCCACAGTTGTAACATCGGGCCTTACCCTTATGAGATGACTGTTTAGGATTCACAACTGAACTAGAAAGCTTATTTACTACTACAGGCTTAAGGCTATCAGTCTTGGTTAATACTTCTTCCTGCGCTGGTCGCGGTACAGTCTTGAAACGAGCAGCTCGGGAGTCATTTATCTTATTGAACGTAACAATATCAATTAGTAACTCATTTTCATTTCTGTGGCTTCTACTCAATAAATAAACACACAGTTCACGCGAAAATATACCTTCAACAATTTGCCGTTTGGACTCATCGAAGTCAAGTTTGAGCTCCCGGCACATACGAGCTTTATCGTGGAAATATTCGTTAACAGTTTCGCCTTTTCTTTGTTGACGTGCAATCAACAATTTCGTAAGGTCGACAATTGATGCTAACGTGCCAATAAAAGCATCTTTGAACTGTTGCTCAAAGTGTTCCCAACTAGAGAAATTGCGCCCCAAGTACCAATTACGAGCAGCACCTTTAAGTTTCGTTCGTACAATTTCGAGCTTGAAGGTATCTGGCCAGCTATGTAAATCGGCAGTCGAATTGATGCCCTTAATCCAGTTCGACGCTTCAGCGTGAGATTCGGTTCCGATAAAGTCGGGTAATGACTGATGAAAATCCGGCATCACGTAGTATCCATTCGGACCATTCGATCCAACACTATGAACACTGACTGGGCTCGGTGCCGATCGCTGTTGCATAATTTCATTCATTTGGTTCATAAGAAGTCGATTTTGCTCTAACAATACGGCTAATAGACTATTCGTATCAATACTTTGTTCTTGCGCCTTGTTTATACTGATAAGATTACTATCAGCGCCGGAGGGCACTGTGGATTTCTGTACAAAATCATTGCTACTCCCTGGCAGCACTGGCTGACTAGAACGCACCTGGTCGCCTTGCGCAACGTAACCTCCAAAATCTTTTCCCGCTAATTCAGCTACATCATCCAATTGCTGGGTTTTCCCATCAGACGACGCGTAATTATGGTCGGACTGCGGCTCTTTGTCCATACTAATGAATGATAATACTCACGTGGTCACGTCTTCGAAAATCGAATCGACGATTTTTCTTGACGAAAATTCACAATACACGCACTAAAAAAAAAACGTTCAGGAATCTTAGGGTATCGGTATCCCACTTCTGATGTTGTAGCGGCGTACCGGCGGTTGCACGTCCGCTGAGCAATTTGTCAGGATTATAACAAAAAACACAATTAGTAGTACTATTAAATAATTGAAATTATTATTGAACAAGAAACAATAACAAAATAATAACAATTCTTATTATTGAGCTACTTAACAATAGGTGACGACGCTGAGCACTTTCATCGGCGCGTGCACTACAGCTACTACTCACAGTACTAACGACTAACATAATATAGTATGATGATGATAATAATAATAATAATAATAATAATAATAATGATAATAATAATGATAGAATATTACTACATAAGATTATTTATTTTTGTTATATCTGCAGATGTGTATTGTTTTTTTTTTTTTTTTAAATTTTGTTTAATATCATCTTCATCATCTTTTTTATAATTTACAGTATTTTTTTCATTAGTTTTTAATAATACATTATTAAACATTTTTTTAAAATTTGTTTTAATATTAATTATTTTCTGTGGATTTTCATCAGATGTGTTTTTTAAATTATATCCTACCTTAGAATTGTTTTGGTCTTCAAATGTTACTTTTTTTTTAATTTTATTTTTTAATTCTTTTTGAATTTGATTAATATCCATTTTATTATACAAAAATAAAAAAATAAAAAAAACGTTTTCATCATTCATTGATGTTTAAAATATCAAGTCTATTGTTATGAAACCATACATTTTTATTTTATTTTTTTTTTCATATGTTTTACAATAAGTTCTACGAATTTCTTTAAATTTTTTTTATGGTATAATTTTGCCAATTAAATCGTACCTTATTTTTCCAATGTAATTATCTGACTGATTAAAAACAATTAAAACAGTCAAATTATTTCTTATCGTTTTTATGTCTACTGAGGTATAACTTTGTGTTAAATAAATAACACTAATTTTGATCATTGTAGTGTTGTTAATTATTCATTTGAAATAAATGGGAAAAAATACCAAAGAAATGCAAAATCTAGATTTTGCAATCTAAAATATTGTCAAGCTTATGAAGATTCAATGGAATATAAATTAACCTACTATAAGTCATCACACGAAGAACATCCTTCAATATATTTAAGTAAAAGTGATTTTAAAATTTATAAAACATTTTTTGTTGTTAACCTTACTAGACAACAAGGTAGCGTAGTACCTAACAGTAAAGTAATTTTAAATGTGGAATTTGGTCAAACTTTATCTGATAATACAATTTGTTATGTTCTTTTATTTCTCGTGCAATTTTTATGTATGATATTGAAAGAGGAATAATTGATGAAATGATTTAACTTTTATTTGATTTTAATTTTCAAGATATTCTATCTTGAAAATATTTATTTATTTATTAGATCAAGAACAACAATGCATACTTCATCAAAATTAATAATATTCCCCTTCAAGTCAAAAATATTAATTTCTATTTTTTGAAATCGATTTTTACTTACTGGTCTATATATAATTTGATTTGGTTGTATTAAAACATTATTAGAATCATATTTAAATAAAAATAAAAGTTCTTCACAATAATGGGTATGTGTATTAATATCATGTGAAAAAGATTCTTCAATTATATTACAATGTACTTCTAATGTTTTATTGTTATTATTTAATGAAGAATTTAGTCCAACATGTGTAAATAAATTATTTTTATCAAATCCTCCTAAACTTAAATATAAATTTTGATCAAATACATAATAATCTTTTGTTGATATTTTAATATGATTATTAATATTTTCCAACTTTATATTCGAAGGTAATAAACTATTTAATTGTTCAAATGAATAATTTCCTTTTAATTCGGTTTTATTATTTTCATTAAAAACAGTACCACTAATATTTTTTATATAAATTTGTGTATAAAAAATTAGATTGTTTGAACCTTTTATTTTATATTTTATAGCAGGACCTACTTCGAATGATTTAGGCCATACTTTATTTATAGGGATTAAATATCCAATATAATCCATACCTAAACATTTTGATAAATATTCATCAAAATATAGACCGATTGAGGCTGTAATATTTAAAACACCTTCAATTAATTCAAGACTTATTTTTGGAAAATTAATCACAAATTTAGCTCCGAATGAATTAAACACATTTTCAATTTCACTTATTGAATATACACCTATAAATATTGTACCTAACGGGATTTGACCATTTCGACCTAATCTAAATGCACATTGTTTATTTATATTTATATAATTATCATTAGAATTGGGATGATAAAATATTATTGGATGACTACTAACTATTGAAAAATCAAATTCTGTGTTTTCAAAACCTAAATATTTTTTTAAATTTTCATCTAAATTATAATAACACGAAGATTCAATTTTAATTTTATTATTTACATCTTCAAACGATATAATAACAGGATCTATTTGTTTGTTTAATTGTTTGATACTATACCTACCTTTTTTTATTTCTATTAAATTCTGTTTAATTTGTATACAACAGTCTGATTCAATATTAATAAAATTGTTTCCTTTTAAAATCATTGAATAAACACCTAACAAATTATTATTATCATCATTATGAATAGGTGTATTTAAATTAATACTACCGTTTTTAACTTTTATAAATACCATTTATAAAAGTAAATTTTATTTTTATTCAAAATCTATCAAATGCATTGTTTTTCCTTTATTTAATTTTTTTTCACCTTTATAAATAAGATTAAATTTAGTTTTGGATTTTTTATTATATAATTCTATATTTTCTTTTGTAAACACATCTAAAAATCTATCTGGTAAAATAACATTTAATTTATTATCTAATATAACAACTATTTTTTTACCATACTTTGTATCAACATACTTAAAAAGACTCACCTCATATTCTTTTCCTTGTTTTAAATCACATAATCTTACAAAATCATATTGTGAGTTACAACTATTTAAAAGTGTTTTCAAATTGTCCATTTCTTTATATTAGTAAATAAATTTTTTTTTTTTTTCGATTTTTTATTTCGAAAAAAATCTATTTAATATTTTCAAAAGTTAGCAAAACGGTAAACGGTTAACGGTAGACGTTTGCAAAACGGTAGACGTTAACGAAACGGTAAACGTTAGGCGTTAGCAAAACGGTAAACGTTAGGTGTTATGTGTTAAGCGTTATGTGTTTACATTTCAATGTTAATATTTTAATATATAAAAAACTACGACCGTGATCAACAAATACGTCATTCAAACTAGGTATGGGCATAATCGAATGATTTCGATAATCGAATGATTAGTAATCGAGACATTTTCATAATCGAGAGAATCTCTCGAAAAATAACTCGAAATTAAAATCGTTTTTTCCTATGAAAACAATAATCGAATGATTAGTAATCGAGAGAATATCTGAAATTAAAATAATTTATTCGTATGATAAGAATAATTGGCTATTACGTATTGAGAGAATCAAAAAATTACTCAATTAATACACTTTAGTAAATAGTTATTAATTCAATTTTGCTTTCTATATTTGATGATATATATTATATTTATAATTAAAATAAACTATAATTTAGGAATAATAATAAGTAATAAACTAATAACCATGATGTATTAATAATTTATTATTAATAGATGCTTTTATTAAAATACAGATTTTCATTTTTATATTTAATAATTATTATCTAAATTTTAAATTAATCTGCTGGTCTAAAATACTGTAAAATCTTAATTATGAAAAAACTCTATGATTTTAAATGAAACGTTATAAATATATTACAAATATGTATGGCTACCAAATCAGCAAATGTTGACAATGCATTTTAAGTTTCAAATAAAATTTATTAAAAATCCTCCAAATTAAAAATAATAGTATATATCTAATAAAATAACTTTATAACAGCTCGTAATAGTAAGTAAATAAGTATAAGAATAATAAATATTTAATGAATAAAACTGGACAAAATATAAAAATGTAAAAATGCACAAAAAATTTTAATACAAATTCAAATTACTATTTAAAAATATAATATAATCTAAATTTGTTGGGGATAGCCGATTTCTGCGATCATTGGTTATCAGTCCTGTTTTTGAAAATACACGTTCAGATGGAACAGACGTTGCTGGAATACACAAATATTTCAGCTGCATATTATACAAATCTGGTAATGTGTGTTTATGCTGTTTCCGAAATTCCAATGGATTTTTTTTACGATCTAAAAGTGGCATATCTAAATATTGACGTATTATCAAAGTGAAAGTTACATTTGGACTCGATGTAGTTCTGACTTCAGCGACTTTATTATTAAAATGCTCCCATAGTGATTTAGTTGCATTATTAGTACTATTTAATGTGTGCGCTGTGGTGGTAGATTCAGTTGTATTCATTTCATTTTCCATATCATTATTTGTGCTAATCATCATTGTTAATTCTTCGCTTACCCATTTTTGCGCATTACTAGCATTTTCAAGTAAACCAAATGCAGTTTTTTTGAATCGTGGGTCTAAAAATGTTGCTTTTGCAACAATTTTATTCTTTTCTAAAATGCCCAACGGTCTACTGACTATATCCATTAACATATTTGTAAATACATCCCCAATATCAGTTTTTGTTTTCAAGTTTTTTAAAATATGTTGAAGACCTCTAATAAGTGGTATAACCACACTTAATGTTGGGTACTTTTCACCTGATAATTCTGCTGTCATTATTTCAAATGGCTTTAAAATATGGGTACAATCTAATATTATCTCCCACTCGGACGCATTTAAATAATTTGGAGCTTGAGGTAGAGTTGACATAGCAGCAGATAGAGGGGCTTTAATGTTTACAAGTCTTTCAATCATTATTAAACTGGAATTCCATCTGGTAGGCACATCTTGCTTAACTTTTAATAGAGGCAAGTTCATTTGCAATTGAAAATCTTTGAGTTTTTCAGTAGCGTTACTGCTGTGCTTGAAATGCCCTACTATCGTCCTACATTTTTTTTAAATTTGATTTATATCAGAGTTTCCATTTATTGCCTCATTTATACTCAAATTTAGTGTGTGTGCCACACATGGGTGATGGTGTTTAAGAATTTGTTCGTTTATTGCATTTTTAATATTTGACCCATTGTCTGATACCATGGTTAATATTTTATTTGCTATATTCCACTCATTAAAAATATTTGTAAAAGTAGCGGCTATATTTTGACCAGTGTGTCTTTCAGAAACGCCTTTAGTTGCAATTACTGGTGAATATAATTGGTCGTCAAAAATAAAATGGCACGTCACTGTTATATATGAATTATTGGAATCGGATGTCCACATATCTGTCGTTACTGATAAATCATTTACGTTTTGAAGAATAGATTTTATTTTAAGGAGCATAACATTATATTCTTGTGGCAACAATTGTGAAGTTAATACTTTTCTACTAGGGATAGAATAAAGTGGTTGCAATTTTTTAGTACACTCAATAAATCCAATGTTTTCTACTAAAGAGAGTGGTTGATAATCAGCGACAATCATTTTAATTAAAGATTTATTAATAGCCTTAATTTCAGAATCACTAAGTTCAAACTCTTTTGTCGAACCAAAGAGTTTTAGTTGACGAGGCCGTTTTGAAGGTGGCTCAGAAAATTGAGACGAAATCAAGTGTTGAGATGATAAATTAGAAGAAATTGCTGAAGTTGAGGAACTAAATGTATTTTCGGTAGTCCGGATTAATTGGTTATCTGGGTCATCTTCATTATGAGTGTTCGGATTGAGTTTGGTAGGGTGTAATCGTTTTAAATGTTCTATTATAAATTTAAAAAGATACAAAAATTGTGAAATTAGTATTTATTATACTTATTATACTTATTACTTAATATTTTGAAATACATAATATAATTAGGATTTGCAGAAGTATGAAATATTTCATTTTGAAATATATCACTATTTCATAAAAAAAATTCACAAAAACGTGAAATATTGAAATTTTTCTAATACAAATATTAATAATGGTTATTTATCAATTATTGATTATATAATCTAAATTTTCTAAATATAATCATTGATATTAATGAAATGAGTACAGTGGTTGATAAATTACTACTATTTAGGACATTTAGGTCTTGTTTTCGACTATTTAAAGCATTATTTATTTATTTACAGTGGCGGCTCGTGAGGTTCACGTACCAAATACGTGCCCACGAAAAATAATTAATAAAAGTATAAAATTAATAACATCATTGATTATAAATACTATTATTTATAATCAATGATAATATTAATAATTAATATTCGTACAAGGTAACTAATAAACGCAAACCGTACACGACACGCTGTTTGACGAAACCAATGCAAATAATAGAAAATCATAACAATATGATTTTAATATGTTTTTATATTATATTGTTGATATTATCATAGACATATAATAATAATAATAAGTCTATGGATATTATAGTAGTTATTAGTTTTAGTTGATTTGATAGCATTACTAACCGGCGTGTCGAGGCCTGTAGCTAATTTTTATACGGCTACCCGGAGCACAAACAATTTGTGCTCCACGATATTATTTAATCGTTTATAAATATATTTTTTAACATAAAAGCTGCAAAAACTGTTTTTTTTTAATATAAATATTTATATATTTTTTAATTACAGACCATTTGCATAATCATCAATTATATTATGTTATTATAGGCATATAATAATTTTTTATATAATTTGTTTGGGTGGTTCACGTGCTCCTGTGCACCATCGTGGTATGCCGCCACTGTTTATTTATTTATGATAAACGGGTAATAACCTTTTTGTGTGAGTAGTATCAGGTTGATATTTTTTAAATATTTTACAGTAAGAACAAAAAATAAAAAGTAAGACAACAAATAATTAGACATTTTCTATAAAATATGTGAAATGTAGTTATTTAAATTAATAAACTAAGGTGTTTGAAATAATTCCAAAGAGAAAGGGTAAACAAATAGATAATTTCATGTGCCTAGTTTAAAAGTTATGTAAACCCTTAATAAAATATTATAATTTTAATTAATTACCTTTTAAGTTTGTCGTGTTTCCATAATACTTATAATCCTTTTTACATATTTGACACGTAGCAGTCTTATTATCAGTATGTTTTTTAAAATGGTCCCAAACAACGGAACGTTGTTTACAGCCCGGTCTCATATTATATAAATCAATTAAGAAAATACTTTTGAAATTATCGAAAATATGGAGACATGGAGTGTCAACTGTTAACTACTAACTGTTTATGACTTGCAAGATTGTTTGACAATTATATTTGGAAAAAAACAATCAAAAATCGTCAACATCTCTCTCCTAAAATTAAATAGTTAAATGGTGATTTTTCATAGGCCGTAGCAGTTTATATATAACGCGTCTGTGAATAAAAGTATTTTCGATAAAAATAATAAATGTGTAATATAAGTATAAGATATAACTAATATACAATATTATTGTCTTATTTATAAACATACATTGCATTTGCATTATCTGTATTTATTTTTACAACCCATTAAAAATTAAAATATACTAAATCAAATATCAATTACCATATAATAATTCAAAACATTTCAAAATTCGGTTACTTTAGTTACTATTATTCGATTACTCGATTATTTTATTTTACTCATAATCGAAATTATTCGATTGCTCGATTATTTTATTTTACTCATAATCGAAATTATTCGATTACTCGATTATTTTACTCATAATCGAAATATCTCGATTCTTTTTCATAATCGAGATATCTCGATTATATATCTCGATAATGCCCATCACTAATTCAAACGATAATAATATTGTAACATCCGTTAAGAGGACGTGATACCACCAATTTTGAAGTGTAAAAACATCCTTGCGGAGAATAGTGATTACTCGTCGAATAGTGGATTTAGAGCAAAATCACCTATAATAAATTTTAAAGTTAACAATATTTTGGAGATAACCTCATATCCTTTTTTCAAAATACCGTATAGTAAAAAACTTACAGTTAATTAAAAAAAGTAAAATAAATGGAGATTTATACATTTAATTAATCAAGAAATAATTTAAGTAATCAAAAACGGATATGAGGTTATCTTCAAAATTTTGTCAGCTTTCTTTTTTGATATAGGTATTTTTACAAAAAAACCACTCAAAAATCCATATTCTTGGATCGCGCAAAACATGTTTTATAAGAAAATCGCATAAATTACTTTTAATTTACGGCCGACAAGTGCTGCTCTGTTTCCGTAACGGCAGTGTTCGATAACGCTTGTTACCCCCCCGACCTGTGAATCAAACTCCACCATACTGGTTTTTGACGATTTAGTCATTAGTGCCCACCGCCAGACGTGACGAACTATAAATAATATCGCAAAATTGTAGATAACGGCGCGCGGCGGCTGGGTGACATAAATAATAATAATTATTAGAGTTTCAATATTTTATACAACTATTTCATATTTTCATGTTACGTCGTAGTGCGTGCTGTCCCTAGTGGAAAACTGGGCAATTAGTGTGATTAGTGTGACCCTCCCCCACCGACTCATTCCACATACACACCGCGATATTGTAATTTTATAATTACGAAGAAAATAATATTTATATGATTTGGATCGTGCCACTGTCACGCTGTAAATTGTAATAACAACGCACGGCCGCATCACGGTTCTTTGTTTGTCTTTTGCAATTTGCAAGATATTATTTTATAATATACACGTCATTGTCATATTTGATATTTAAATATTTTGAATATGGCGAACAAAAGTAAACGAACTAAACGTTCGCAAAAGAAAATAATCTCTCGTAATCTAATACTAAAACGTTATAACAAAAAAGAGAGGTAAGTTTTGTATATTATTATTATTGTTATAATTATTATTATTTTAAATAAAATTACATCGCAGGATTCAAACAGTTACAAATAATGTCATGAAAACTGCAGATTAAGCTGAGATCGATTCTTCAATAGAAGAAAATCATGTTATTATAGAACCTTCAAATGAAAGTATAGAGTCGTAAGTGTACAAAATATATAATATATTAGTATATAGTAGTATATAACATAGTGTTACTATGTCTATACTCTATACTCAATATTATTTGTTTATCACTCCCCACAAAAAAAAGTTTTTGAGGAGGCGTTGAAGTGTATTTTAGACGAAATAATACTATAGTCTATAGACTCAATATAAATCTACTAATAATAATAATTATATATTATGATGTATAGTAATGCTGTAATATCAGAATTTGATGTACCCCTCAATTCTATTGATATTTTTGACGAAACTTTAAGCCCGTAAGTTATAATTATTTTTTTTTTTAAATATTATTTTAATTATAATATTACATTAAATCGCAGGATTCAATCAGTTACACAAAATATCACGATGACAGAGCTCACTGAGATTGATTATTCTGCAATAGAAAATCATGTGATAGAAACTTCAAATGATAGTATAGAGTCGTAAGTCTGTAATATAATATATACAATGTCTATATTTGTTTATAAATTTCGATTTAATTTTTTTGGCCAAGTCAAAATACTTGAAAATGTAATAGAAGGTTTTCATAAGTTGATCTATGAGTGATAAAAAAATGATTAAAATATATAGGAACAATTTTTTATAAGTGTTAGAAGTTCAAATATTGACAAAATTCGTCATAATCACGAATATTTGATATTTATTTTGTAATTTTACTATTTTAGATTCTGAGCGGAACGATGAATGTTTTGATTTTACAATGATGTGTGTTTTCATAAGTTGATCTAAATGCGGTTTAAAAATATTTAAGATTAGTATGCACACTTTTTTTTTAAGTTAAAATTTTGATCAAATTCATCAAAATCTCGAATGGTTGCAAATTTATTTTTAGTTATAAATTCATCCCCGTCGTCTCAAACGAAAATGACCACGTGATTTTCTAACCAACTAACCGAATCTATATATTTTATTTACATTTATTGTATACAATTAAATTAAATTTAAATTAAATTCATATTGGCAAGACTGGGCAAGTTAATGATTTTTTTTAAACTCAGTTAAGTTAAGTTAAACATATAAGTTATACAGATTGTATATTGTTCTTTCTACTTAAATAAAAAAAAAAAATAATAAAAAAATATATAAAATATCCTACACCGACAAACTGTCTCCGCTCAGAATCGTTATTCGTATACAATGATATATCATTCAATTCAAATTTAACACCATGCATTAGAGTGACCCACTATATAATATGTAGTAAAACTGCACAGCATAGCGACATCCACTTACCCGTTTTTTTTATATTTTATAATGTACTTATGTATACTAGAAAAATTTAGAATTTACTGGGGAGCATTAGATAAAATATAGGCCTTAATGGAATATTCATGAATCGTTTTTTTTCGTATACAATGATTTTTCTGTTTGATTTGGCTTGTGTGTTTTGTTTAGTGATTTGACATTTCATCTCAAAGGGCGCCGCATTGTGGATATGTCTCATGTATTTTACCAAATTCAGAATTCTAAACAACATACGCCTGGTCTAGGTTGTTCATTTATGGATGTAGATTTTATAAGTGAGTCAACCAAAGGTTTCGAGTGTAGTTGGAAATTTCAGTGTAGAATGTGTAATCTGAAAACCGTTATTACCTCGGAAAAACGAGATCCAGAAATAATTCCCATCAACAAAGCGGTAGTAAATGGCACTATTGCAACTGGCATAGGATTCACCCAACTAGCCGAACTTACAGCTTCTATCGACATACCATGTATGACCGCTAAAATATACCTGAAATATAACAACATAGTAGGTGCAGATATAAAAAGTAGTGCATGGGATGAAATGAGATTAGCCGGTATGGAAGAGAAAAGGTTGGCATTAGAGGTAGGTGATATTGATGAAGATGGCATTCCAATGTGTCCAGTCATAGCTGATGGACAGTGGAGTAAAAGAAGCTACAAAACGAAGTACGACGCGTTATCAGGAGCGGTAAGAAATAAAATAAATACTATAGGTATATAGTATTGCTGTGCCTAAATAAGCCTAAAATAATATTTATGGTGTTTATCCCTGTTTTTAACTTATAATTGCCATGTAGACTGTTTTCTAAACATGTTTATGTTCTAACTGATATATTATTGTTATGTATATTAGTATATTATAAATAATTAATATTAATAATTGTATTGGTTGGGTTTCATTATAATGTTATAAATTATAATATCTCATATTCTCATTATAGGTAATTATACTTATTAGATAATAAAAATAAATAAATAGATAAACAATAATAATAATAATTAATAAATTACCTAATAAAAAATTTAAATCATAGGCTACAATCATCGGATATCGAACCAAAAAAATATTGTTTGTGGGAATTCGTAATCGCTACTGTGTCATATGCGAGAGAGCCAAAGTACTTGATAAGTCACCGAACACTCACGAGTGTTTTTTAAATTGGTCAAAAGGTGCTACAAGTATTGAGGCTGATGCAATTATAGAAGGGTTTTTGTCTAGTATTTCAATCCATGGCCTAAAGTACAATAAATTGATCGGTTAGTACCAACTAAATTAGTATTGTTTTTTAATCCGAGTACTAGTAATTAATAATTGTATTATACTCTATAGGGGATGGCGATAGTAGTGTTACTAAAAAATTAAACGAAGTGATGCCATATGGTCCGATGTTATTAGTAGAAAAAATTGAATGCCGAAACCACATTCTACGAAATTATGGCCAAAAGCTTATGGGTCTTACCAAAAAAACGGATTATCCTTGTTATTTGAGAAAATTTATAAGCAGAAATATATTGAGATTTCGAACGGCTGTAACTAAAGCGATAACTCATAGAAAAAATTTGAATGATACTATGCAAGAAAAAATCGAAGGTAAAATGGATTAATTTATATTTAGATCCCTTCGTATAAAATATATAGGTACCTATTCTATAATAATTGTAATAAATAATTATATTTGGTTAGGTTTACGGAACGATATATTAAATGGACCTTATCATATTTTCGGCCACCATTCCAAATGCGAAAGTTATTTCTGTTCAGGACCAAAGTTAAATGAGAAGGACTTGGTATCTGAAATTAACAAATGTGGCCTGATGAACGATATTAAGTTTGTTTTACGTCGAGTAGCTGACAATTCAAAAAGCCTTATTCATGACGTTGACAATAACTATTGCGAACAACTTAACAGCATCTTAAATAAACACATAGCAGGCAAGAGGATCAATTTTAGCCAAAAGCAATCCTACAACATCAGAGTTCAAGCAGCAATTGTGTCATTTAATTCTAAAGGAAATTTTATTCGTACGATGCATAAAAAAATCACAAACAAAAGTCCAGGTTAAACATTTATTTATGACCTACATTAGTGAATACATAATACTACATTATACATTATACATTATAGTATAAAATAATATAGGTATAACGTGTTATTTAAAATGAAATAAATTCTAGAAAAAAATCCTGAAATAGTGAACAGGCAACCGCGACTTTTTCTATCTAATCTTGTTTTTTTTAGGAATTATAGCGAAAAAATTTCTTAAATATACTTCAGACAAAAGAAGAAATTTAAAAATGCGAAGAGCACTTTTTAAATCATCAGGAAAATATTAAAAAAAAAAAATTTCTCAAGGACCTGACGAATTTTATGGTTTGGCTGAACCCTTATTAGACATATTGCCAGATGCTGTTATAAAAAAAAAGAAGGACGAATTTATTTTATCATTGACTATGACAGAGGCGGATAGACACACATTGGAACGTGAGACAATGCAGCAAGCGAATAGTCAAAGGTGGTTTATTGAGAGGAGAAATAGATTAACCGCATCAAATTTTGGTCGAATTTGCAAACTGCGGCCTCAGACATCATGCAAATCCACGGTTTATGATATTTTATACAATAATCCTACTTCAAAATCACTTATTTATGGTAAACAGACTGAAGAAACTGCACTAAAATGTCTAGAATTTAAAATAAACTGTACAATTCAGAAATGTGGCCTATTTATTGACAAGTTCATACCATATTTGGCAGCAACACCAGGTACCTATATAATATTCTAACAGCGCTAACAGAATTTACATAAATATTATCTTAATTCTCATTCATAAAATAAATGTTTTTTTTTATGTATCAATATAATGTTATCACTTATCATAGATGGTTTAATTGGAAGCAACTCAATCGCCGAAATAAAATGCCCTTATTCGGTAAAAGACAGTGACACTTTGGAGCAAGCTTTACAAGAAAAAAAGGTTAAGTACTTCAAAAAAAAATGTTGTTGGTAAAATATGTTAACAAATTAACAGTGTATGAGCGTTGATCTTGGAAAATGTGTGAATATTAAATACGGAATAATATTAAAACTAATTAATTTTTTTTTGTAGCTTCCTTACATATATGAAATAAACGGTGTCTATCAATTAAAGAAAGACAATCTTTATTATTTTCAAATACAGGGCCAAATGCACATCACAGAACGTCACAAGTGTTATTTTTTTATTTATACACCTGAATGGACACATTTAGAAATTATACACTATGATGACGTTTTTTGGAGTACAACAATGGAAAAAAAATTAAAATTGTATGTATTTTTAAATTGGTTTTATTATTTTAGGCTAACTACTAAAATGTTGGTTGTATAGATTTTACGAAGAATGTTTACTTCGGGAAATTATCGACCCACAATATAGTAAACGATTGTTGAAAAGCGACATATATGAACCTGCGCACATCAGAGAATATATAGAAAATTATAAAAAAATTAAAAATAATAAATTGGGTAACAAATGACCCACATTGTACATATTATATTTGTATATTATATTATATAACAAAAAAATAAGTATTTATTATTTATTTATACCTACATAACGTACAAAAACTAAACTTAAACTTGGTATTTTGTTTTAATTTTTATTATACATTGAAGAATAGAAACTCAAGAATATAAACAACCTGTGAAAATGTCACATATCTACGGTCATTCGTTTGTTAATTACAACAAAAACAGAAAATCGTTACATGAGAAATCGAGTGAATATCAAATTTTGTAAAAATATGAATTTCAAACGCTCATAAAAATTTAATTTTACTTTCTTCTAAAAAATTTTTTTTTTGATAAAGGTAGACAAACTTATGAGGAATCTTGTATTAAATTTTAAAATCTTAGATTTAAAAACAAAATTTTTTATGAATTTCTAACTTAAAATAATTTTGCAAATTTTCGTCGTTTTTACGTATTTTGTCAATATTTGAACTTTAAATGCTTATAAAAAAAAACTGTGACTAAGGATTTTTAATTGTTTTCATCTGCCTTTGAAACAATATACTAGGAGCTTTGTATTAAATTTTCAAGTTTTTTTAACCAACAAATAAAATTTTATTGATATTTATAGAAAAAAAAACTAAAAAAATTGAAAACTGACAATGTCCGTAAACAGTTCAAAAAGAGTCAAATTATTTTCAAAATTTTACCATATATAGAAAATGCAATTATAAACAACCTGTGAAAATTTCATATATCTACGGCCATTTGTTTTAGAGTTACACCAAAAACCAAAATCGATTTTGCGTAAAAATTTTGACCCCCCAAAGTACCAACTAGATTCACTTTCCAATCAGAAAAGTTGCTATTTAAGAAAATCGAAGCAGTTTTACTGCCCTAAAAGGTGATGACAGACACAAAAAAAAATAAAAAATATAAAAAAACACACATCATTTTAAAATCAATACATTCATCGTTCCACTCAGAATCTAAAAGTAAGATAATATTGAACAGTTAACGTAAAATATGTATTTATTTAGGTACTATTAAATAATTTTATACTGTATGTATTATATTTGAATGATTAATAGTGCAATAACTACAAATTAAGCTATGCTATATTACAGTTTTTACAATCTATATATTGGTGCATACATTTAGGTAAGCAGTAACTTCAAACAAAAAAATAGTTCGAATGGGTACGCGCGGTTATTGAAAATAATACCGCGGCGTTTACGTGTGTACTGTGTATTAATATATTGACGCGATCCGTCATGGTCAAACGATCATCGAATAATAACCGGCGCTCCCGAGACCAGATTGAGCGGTGCCGCCGACTGCGAGTAATAGGCCGTAGGCGTGGCATACGCGACGCGCATCGCGTGCTTGCGGATCCTGAAAACACCTAAAAGCGCTTTCTCTCGGTCATTGTATGCGTAACGCTTTGGGTATCACGTCCTCTTAATGATTAAAGATTACGATTCAAATTTGTAGTCGTTAATCATAATATAAATTAATGTAATCAACAATTACAATAACAAATTATTTAAAATGATTAAAGTCATAATGTAATCGTAATATTGATTACGATTACAACATTTTTTAATTTGTAATCATGACTAAATTTTAATGATTAATGATTAATGATATTTCAATGACTATTTGGACTGAATAACAGGTATATTTTAAGATAAAAATTTTAAAAAGATACAGCTAGTTTATTGATCATTGTAGTGCACTTCATATGTATTATAGTTATTGATTAATGATAACCTATATTATGTAGGATATTGTAAAAATATAACAAAATAAATAAGAAGTAAATTTAACAATGATAAATGCAATTTTCAAATATTATAGAAAAAAATAACAATTAACAATACAAAATCATATTTTTTCAAGAAAAAATTATTTTTTAATAATAAACTAAACATAAATTATAATAATTATGCCATAATAATATAATAAGAATAACAATGAAAATATGTAATAATAAATAATAATAACAATTATAAACAATGTAAAAATCATAACATTTTTATAGTATATTTGCTTTTAATACAACGCGTTTTTCAAATAATTGATCGGATAATTTATGACTTCTTGGTTGATTTATCATTGTTGCAAATGAAAAAAGTCTTTCCACAGGTGCTGACGACGGAAGTGGAGTATTGTATCGAATAAAAACTTGTTTAATAATAGGATACTTTTCGAGATTATTTAGATTGTTTTCTTCATCTGACAAGAAATGTAGAACTTCTAATTCTGATTTTGTCGTACCAGTTGATGCCGAAGAAGAAGATCCGAAGTCAAAAAAGTCGTCCGTTGTTAGATTTATGATTGGTGATTTTTCTGAATGAAGTGGCGTGTTTTGTGCACTAATCACGTCATCAGCTGCTTTTTTGAAAAAGTGAATGAGCTTATCGTGATTTTCTATTTTCACACATGTTAACCAACGTTTTTTAAAACGCGGATATGAGAATGCTGCTATTGAAGCATTAACAGATTCAAGAGAAGAAAAATTTAAATAATTTTAAAATCTTTTATCAATACTTTTTAATATTGCATCAATTATAGGTTTGCAGTATAACCAGATACGTTCAGGTTTAGCTAACGTTTCAATTTTTCTTCTTAATGCCAGAAGACATGGTAGTACTACACCATAATAAGTATTTTTTTCACCTTGCATTATATCCAATGCTTCAGCCATTGGCGCTGTGCATAATAAATGTTCTTCAATATAATCAAAATCTTGTTCCCGCAAACAGTTTTTTTTATTTATATCTAAAGCATTATTTAGATTTGAAATATTTTTTTTTATATTTAATATCTGTCGAAGTGCATCGTATAAACTATTCCACCGCGTTTCTCCGGGCCTACTTAATGTATGTCCTAATATATTTTGTATAATTTCGGCCGATTTTGGCCGTCCAGCTAAATTCCAAAGAATATTACATTTATTAATTACTGAAACGTGTACTAATGACAATTCATCAGAGTTATTTATAACTTTATTTATATCTGCTGTTACACATAAATTAAGAGTATGTGCGAAACATCTAAAATGCATTGGCAATATACTTTCTATATCTGGCCCATGTACGTCACATTGAAGTTAATTACTTTCGTTTGATTCTAAATTAAATTCTGAGGTATCAATATTATCAACCGAATTTTCCTCTTCGATAAAAATTATATTTGTTCTCTTTACTCCAAACATTTTGAATGCT